CCCACATTGGCAGTCAGAATAACTCTGTTTTTCTCCTGTCTGAGGAGAGTTTTATTGGTTGATATTAATTATGTGTGATAACATGTTGACCTCTGTGGTACATTCCTGAAAACGAGTGTGTACTTTTTTGGAGAGAGAGAGAGAGAGAGAGAGAGAGAGAGAGAGAGAGAGAGAGAGAGAGAGAGAGAGAGAGAGAGAGAGAGAGAGAGAGAGACGTATTTTAGAAAAAAATATTGTATTGCAGGTATTGTGCTCTATTTTGGAACGAAGGACAGAAAGAGAGGAAGAGAAAGAAAGGAAGGAGAAAGAGAAGAAGAAGGAGAGAGAGAGAGAGAGAGAGAGAGAGAGAGAGAGAGAGAGAGAGAGAGAGACAGAGAGAGAGAGACAGAGAGAGACAGAGAGAGAGAGAGAGAAGAAGGAGAGAGAGAGAGAGAGAGAGAGAGAGACAGAGAGACAGACAGACAGACAGACAGACAGACAGACAGACAGACAGACAGACAGAGAGAGAGAGAGAAAGAGTATAGACTGAGAACTAAATATCTGTTTTTAAAAAAGTACAAGTATTGCAGAAGGACGATAATTTTGTTTTGGTTGTGACTACTTATAATGTAAAACGCCAAAGCCACACTAAGGTGTGCCTCCCTTGAACTCAAAGGGAATTTGGTTGACATGACACAGATTTGGCTGTTCTTTACTTGTTGATCGGTTGAATAAATACATTCTCAGATTGGCTTAGATCTACTATAGCCTTGTCTGTTTGATTAACTGTGCTTCTGTTTCATTTGTCAACTATTCAAGTGTAGTGTTTGTTTAGTTTGGGAAATAGTTTTACGGCACTTGCAACACAATTTGGTTTTATTAGTGCCGAAGACTAGAGGCGTTACAAGAGAGTAACAACCGTTGCGAAGCGTCTATATAATCAAATAATCACTGCTTCCCTTCCTATTTTTGAAACATTGTCACAGTCAAATTCACCCATAAACGTAAACCTCATAAATTTAATGTAAAAAGCCGTTCATAATCACCCATGAACAATAGACTATGCCTAACCTTCAAAATCGTTTAATTGCCACAGGAATAGCCTGTTCGCCCCTATCAGGCCACTCCGTAAGCAGTCACAAGCTTTGATCAAGTAAGCTTAAAGTGAGGCTGGAAAAGTCTACCTATAGAGTTGAAGGGAACATGTGCATAGCAGTCAAAACTGTTTCTTGCCACAATACCCTGTTCACCCCTTTCGAGCCACAGTTATAAGCAGCCACACGCGCTGATTATGTAAGCTAACTATTACAGTGGTCGAGTCTACCTCACAGATGAGAGGGGAACTAACTCCTAAAAATATCTTGACTGCTGCGAGTGCTTGTTTTTTTTTCCTCGACTTTTTATCGTCCTATAATCAGATCGTGACCTCGATTATGACACCTGCTCCTGGCCGCGAAAAGCTAGAAAAAAAGCCCAGCCAAATGTGAAATAAAAAATTAATAATTGGCATGCTCTACCAAAGTGTTTAGACTGTCTGGTATAACATGCCAGTGAAGTCTCTGCTTCTTTCCTTGGTGTTCGTGTACTCAAATCTTAAGTTAAATTTAAGGTTAGTTCGAATAAGTATTTAATGAAATATTTTCCCGATTTTTTTAGCGTTTGAATATATGCATACAACATGAATTCAGGATTTGTTTTCATTCCCAACTCAGAGTTGCCGCTTCCAGTAAGATTCTTGTGACTTGTGTGAGTGTGATATCTCCAGGCCCTATCTGGTCTCATCTCACTTTGATTACCCTGTCAAACAAGTCAGCCTTCGTCCCTGGTAACAAACACAAAATACAGATGGGGGAGAGATGAGGACGATATATTTTTTAAATAGAAAATAAGGATCAAACCATGCCATAACACCCGCCAACCACCTACGCTTGTCCAGTTGCAAATCCAGTGCAGTCAGGCACAGACAATCGATAACACGCACACGGAAAACTCGAAATCACGGATACGTCGTACAATCTTCCATTCCCCGACTGATATCTGTTCAATTTTTCCTCTTCGGTTAACCTGATATATAGATATATGTGTCCAACACATTTGTCAATCCTCGAACTCGATGTGTTTCGAATTCTCCGTGCCCGTTTGTAGTTCGATTTGTTCAATGTGTTGCCGTGGTTGTGGCCGGGTAGCGACGCAAAAAAAATAAAAATTCTTCTCTAAAATTGTCTCCTTTCAACCCCTTTCCTTATCTCTAGCAATGTTCTGTCGTATGATTTCGTCTCCACTTTCTACCCACCCCCTCACCTCCTTTGCTCCCTCCTCTGGGCTCCTGACTTTCTGCGCCCTTTCTTCTGTTACTCCTTGGCTCCTTACTGATGTCTTTCAACCACACCCCTGGTCTTATGGT